TTTAATTTCCATTCATTCCACTCAATATGCCACTATATGACAAATTTAATTATATTCTCTTACGATGTAAGGTATTGCAATTATTTTTCATTCCATTTCCTTTCGTATATTAAGCAAAATTCTAAATTTTTTCTCTGCTCAACACTGCTCGATAAGAGCAGCACTTCATATTATATATAAATATATAGATCTAGTTATATGTACTAGTAAAAACTCTATAAAATAATAAAGAACGCCATTGCAATACCATTCTCTTGTCAACAGATTAGTCTCGTAGAACTTCTCTTACTGCTCTCTCTCTCTCTCTCTCTCTCTCCCTCTCTGTGCTCACATTTGGCGCCATGTCAACTCAGCTGTTAATGTGCTAATAATGTCACCCGAACGCCACACAGCGGCACTAAAGTTTTGACAAAAACAAATGCTTCCATATCCATATAATGCTGCTAATATGCTAATTTTATTTTTGTTTTATTTTCTATTTTTTACTTTTCGAGCAACAACCGTGAGGCAGTGTCCGATGACTATCAAAGCATATTTTAATGATCATAATTTTTTTTAAACCAGCTGTCCAGCTGTCCAGTAAAGCGATTCGCTACGCCTCGGCTCGCTTTGGTTTATTGAACAAGTTCAGTGAGGCTTGTTTCATATTTGTTTTTCTTCTCTCTTTTTTTTGTTATGTCTGCATATTAATACCCTTATGGCTTGTATTTGAAAATTGTCAACAAATGTGGCATGACTATTGAAAGGGTACTGAATAGAGCTAAAGTGAATATAGGTAAGATTATGATAATCTTTATTTATTGTTATTTATTTAGTTTTTAAATTCTAGTTTCTTAATAATTTTAGAGCATACAAAGTAAGAAATATTATTATAAAACATATTTACTTTTTTATAATGTAAAATATTAATAAAATTTAATAAATGAGTATAAATGTAACCATCCTTTTTTTAAAATCAAAATTAAAAAAAAAAAATATTAACAATTAATTTATCTAAAAATTATTTATTTATTTTTACAGATCGCTAATAAATATATTTCTACTAAATAATATACATTTTCTGCTTTAAGTTTTTTATGGCTCTTCTAAGAAATGTTTTAAAGCCATTCTTTTTATTTTAATAAAATATATATTAATTAATTATTAAGGTATTCATACTTCGATCTATGGCCATTCCACACATTTCACTCATTTTTGCTGTACATTTATTTCATTGTTTAAAGTTAGTTGTAAAACAAGGCACAACGACAACAAATGAGCGCACATTAATTATAAACACAAAGCGGCAATTTTTTTGAAAGCGCCTAAAAAGATTTTAAAATATTTATTTTTTGCATTATAATAAAATTTATTTATATTTATATATATATATATATATATATATATATATATATATACATGCGCATAATGTAATTATTGTCGCTAAAACAAAAAACTGTAACGGTTTGTAGAAACAACATCAATTATGAAAAATGCGCATAAATTCGATGAAAAATTTAATAAATTAACACAATTAACGAGTTGCCAAATGGCATGCACATAAATAAAACTATTTAATAATTCAATGAGGGAGGCTAAAAATATAAGAAGTGATTAAACAAGAAAACAACAACAACAAAAAACTCTTTGACAAATTTGCAAACATTAAATAAAATCAAAAGCTTTAAAAATATTTTCCTATTTTTATGCGCCATCAGCTGCAAATTTAAATATTTGCTGTTGTTGGCTTTTAGTTTTGGTCAAGCGAAAGACCCGTTTTAGCTGGCCCCCGGTGCTTTTGGACAGATGATCTTGTAATAATATGTATTTATTAGCAACGGCTTGGTCTCCATTAACTTTATCTCGCTCAATTTATCAACATCAGCTCCGAAATTGGCTCGTTTGTCAAAGGCCACTTGCCGATGCTGCTGGCGCTTCTGCTGGGCTTCTGCTTCTGCTACTGCTGCTTCTTCTTATCAATGGTAGCGCTTTAGATTTAATGAGCGCCATTGATTTGGGGTAACGGTATTTTAATTTTGGCTAAGGCTTTTGTTGCTGCCAATTTGCACACCTTCAAAATGTTTGCATTCCAAAGATTCCAATTAATCAGTGTGGTCGGTAAATTTTGAATTATGATTTTTGGCATTAATAAAAATGATTATGGTTTTGTAAAATATCCTATCAAACTGTGCTTAAATTTTTGTGGCATCTGTATAAAATATTGTAGCATAAAAAATTGTATAAGTACTTTAACTAAGTCTTGATATTCAATTAATATGCATAAAATTTTCAATTTTATTTTAATTTGTAATTGCATAAAACCTTCATTAAAATATATAATAATTAATAACATTTTGTTTTATTACATCTAAATATTATTAGTTTGTATTTTATAATTATTTTAAGATTATTAGACTTTACTAACTTAGCTATTAGCTTCTTTTATTTAATTATTAATTTTTATTATCAGCTCATAATTTTTGGATGTAATCTAAATAATAATGTTTACAAATATTAAAAAATATTTTTTTAATTATTTCAAATTATTTGCTTTTATTTTGTTCATTTATTTTTCAACTAACAACACGTTTATATAATTTTCTAAAACAGTATTTTACATTCAAAATATTTTGAATATATTTAAATATAATTCTGCTTTTCATTTTATATTTGATAATCATATTCCGATCTCACAGATAGCTTTTCATACATCTCAGACTTTTCTCCGTCTTCTCTGTTGATATGCGAACACAGCTGTTGATTATTGCTTTAGCACTCAATAAATTCAGGTAAAAATGGTCTATCATACGAGCATAAATAAGACGAAGAAGAAAAAATTATCTCTTTGAAATTCCAGAAAGATGAAACAAATTTTCAGACATTAGTCGCTGTCAATATTTTTCTCAGCCGTGGGGGCAACCTCCTCCCGTTGCCCATTTTTTTCTCTCTTTATTTTTGTGACAAAAATTGTAAATGCGCATACGAAATTATTCAAATGCGTTAAGTTATGAAGTTATCACGATGGCACTGGGACGGACCCTGACAATGGATATATATGTATGTACATATATAGATATGTGTGCATTCCTGCTGCTATCTATGGTTCATGTCTCTGTTGGCGGTGGTCAGGGGTCGGGGGTCCATTGGGTGCCCGGCCGGTCCGAGCGCGTGTATCCATTTTGAATAGGGTATTTGTTTTTGTGCGCTACAGTTTCGTTGACCGACTGCTAAACATTTATTTATGAGGTATTAGACAGCCTGTGGTGCGACTCGGACTACTCCTCCTCCCATCAACATCGACTTTGCTGCCTATTTTGACAGCAACAAGTTGGATAGCAAATATATGAACGGACAGCCTATTAACTGTAGCCGCTTACCCCTTGCCCTTGTCGCTTGCCGCTTGCCGCTTCGTTTTGGTACATATTTCATCGATTAATTTGAAAGATGAAGTTATGAAGAACGCTGAAAGGCATCGCATTTGAATATTTGATTGGGTCGCAGGTCTCTTCCATATGCACAATCCATAAATTTTGTGGATTGTTTGAATTGCTTTTAAATGTGGCGTGAAACGGTTTGTGACTTCGAAAGTGTTAAAAAAAAAATAAATAAATTACAAAAGCGAAACAAACTCTTGAATAGGTTTCGCCAGCTGCCAATTGGCAATCAAAAGACCTGTGCCAAGCAAAACAAGCTACGTGACTTTAGCAGGTGTTCAATATTTTTCTTCATTTTTGGATCGCACGTCTTACCTAAACGGAAACAACCAAAGTAGTCAAAAATATGTCTACATACGAGCATATAACATTTATATGTATAATTGTATTTGTTTTTTTTTGGGTCTCGGTCAAGGGTATGTGCAGAGTTCGAGCAAGTAATTTTAGTTGGCTTAGGTAATGGTAGTGAGTAAAAGCAGGGCTCTGTACTGTACCGCAACATAACGATATATGACTTACATATATGTGACGGAGCTAATTGATGACCTTCTATTGTAATTTGAGTAATTTTCGGTTGTGGCCAGAGCCGAAATCCCCACTGGCTGGCTCTCTCAATTTGTTTTTCCAAAAGTTGCTCTTCCTTGAACCGAGTGATCTGTCGTGTTGAGAGTTTTACAATAGACTTAAATACTTGACTGCCAGTTTAGTTATGTCGGCTTATGTCAAAGCACAACTTAACTCAAGAGAACTATCGTCTGACAGATATTAATATCAGCTATCGGTTCTCTGCACTATTCGCTTCTTCTCTCTAGGATCATCTGGAAATTTCATCTGGCATCCTTTTCAAGATGTTTGTGATATTAATAGAGAGCAAAAGAGAGTAAGCTTGAGGTAATATGCCCGTTCCTACGAATTCATAATTCACTCAAGACAAATGCCGCTCTTATTGATCCTATTTATAATGTCACTCAAATGTTTAACAAATGACTACCTTGCAAAAATTTTACTTAATTAATTTCTTAACCAAGGCAGAAGTTGAGCCGCTGGTTTGCGTAGAAGTTACGGTTAACTTTAAAAATTAAATGACAATATTTAATATAGATTTTTTAAGTATACTACAAAGCAAATCGGGAATAAATTGATACATATAATAAATTCAGCATTTTCAATTGATTTATGTTTAATGAATAAGTTTGAATATCTTCGCTGCGTTTATTTCGTTCTCTTAGCAAAGGCAAAAGCTTTAAGAGAATAGCTTAGTGAATGTTAAATTAATATCAATGAATTTAGTCTAGTTAGTATATAGTTATACTATACAGTTACTTTATATATATTTAGTTGGTCTCAACGCTGACATAGATAGCTAAAAATGTATGGATTTTAGAAATAATGCTTTGATAGATTTAAGCATTATTATACAAAACAATTCCCCAACTAAAAATTTCTTAGTTTTTATAGCTTAAACATAATCTAAAACTCTTTTTTTGAGTTACAATGTCCAACCTGTCACTTGGCGATTAAACTTTACTTATATTTCCTTTGTGATTTCCACTCCAAGTTTATGCATCGTTTCTTATTATCTTTCAGATGCTGGAAGTGTCACATGAGACCCGCGAACATGCAACAGTTAAAGTTAAACTTAAGACTTGTCAACAGGTAAGATAAAAAAGACTCTAAGCAACTCTCTAATTCACACTAAATGCACATTACATTCGCCTGGCACCAATTCAGCTGATTAACTATTGACACACTCACTATACATATGCCTATACCTATATATATCGAGTGATCTGTTAACTCTAGGCACAATCAATGCAGACAACTGCATTAAGACATAAATAACTTTGATGGTCACTTTTAATGGAGCTTATCAGATTTGTAGAGAATTCCTTCGCCCAAGCAAGCGACAACAACTTAATTTTCTCGCCTCGACATCAAAACTTGGCACTCTTTATGGCCACAGATAAATCAATGCCAGACATCGTGGCGTTCCAATCATGATGAAAGCCACAGCGCTTGGGTCAAAGGCAACAGATCATAGAAGCTAACTGTAAACGTAGAACAGACTACGAGATAGTGAGTGAGAGAGAGAGAGAGCAAGTGTGTGCGTGTGAGATGCTTGCTTAATTTAAATTTACAAGAGGTTTGCCTCTCCAGCTTCAACTACTTAACGCAGCCATTACACGATCGGGTTCCATTTCCAAGCGGCGATCGTTTGTGTTTCGTTTTTTCTCTTCTTCTTCTTCGACTCTTTTTTTTTTGTAACTTCATTACCGCACTCCACGTCCAGGGCGAGCCGAGCAACTCATCTCATCTCAGCCTCATCTACTGCTCAAAGTCAAGTCGAGTCTGCGACTCAGTTGAACCCGTTTTGGTTTTTTTTTTTTTTTTTGTGGTTTTGGTTGGCTTCGGTTTCGTTTCATTTTTCGAGCACTCGTGCACTAATGACACTTTAATAAATCATTCGAAAGGTGAGACATCGAGTGCAAGTTAAAGTTGATGATGTGCCACGCAGCAGCTCTCTGCATAAAGACATCGAGAAAACGACGAAAAATACGAAACAAAAATACTAAAACAAAACACCAAAAACAAATCAACCAAATGAGAAATGTGGTTAGCTTTGTGCTCAGTGGACGACAGAGTACAAATAGTCGTCTGATATTTTATGGCTAGAATCGGCAGACATAACCCTAGAAAAACCTTTCTAGAATATATATATTATGCATGTATGTCTGTGTGTAAATCAGCTATGTAAATCAGCAAAAAATGTATTATTGATATATTTTCTCAACGAAATGCAAATATCATGTTCCTTGCTATTTTAAATATTTTTTTAACATTTGTGGAATGCATAAGCAAACGCTGAATTTAATAAATAAATTGTCTATGTGCTTTTAATAAAAAATAAAAAATAAATAAATTGAGTACATTTTGTAATTTAAAATGTTGGTAATTTGTTAAATTCTTCAGAATTTTATGTAAATAGAGTAAATAATTGCATAAAAATTTTTCTGCGGACTGAAGTCTCTTTGCTATACAAAAAATATATTTTTATTCTATACAATAATTATATATAGCAATTATTAACTTTTGCTTTTGACAAAAATGGTTTTTATTATTTTCTTTTAATACTTAGTATATGTATGCAGTGTATATAATATTTTAAATTAAACTACAGTAATTGCTGATGTTATATAATGCACATAAAGCAATCGTTTGAACAAGAAAACAAACGCAAAGGTCCGTGTTGAAAATCATGTAGGCAAAAGCCACTTATTAACATTTTCTCGTTGACGTCTTATTAATACTTCACACCTTTTTCTTCGATCTCGAAATCGATCGTTATTTTATGAAAATTAGTCGACGCGCCACCAAAAGCGACTAAAAAGGCAGAGACAACAAAAATGTGAAGCTGATAAAGCGAGCTCGAGAATATAAACCGGAACGCAGAACGACAAACAGAACTTAAAAAAAAAAAAAAAAAAAAAACTTATATATATGTGTGTAAGTGTATACATGTGTATTTATGCTTGACATCTGTCAGGGGCACTGGAGCAGGGTCGGGACGTGACAGATGCGCCTCGAAAAATTAGACAGCCATTAGCTTGTTGGCTTATTGAATCTTTATGAGTTGTATGTCTTTCTGTGGAGCCGGCCGACTCGTTTGTTTCAATATTAATTAGTGAATGTGCTTTTGCTAGCTTATTAAGTATGCGAAAGATCAATATAAACACAAATTTAAATTACGGCAGCACAATTTACTTCTCTCCCTAATGTATTCAAAATATATGTCGACGCGATGCTGCTGTGAAAACAGAATATTATGCATGGACCGTATCTAGCAGACGATCGTCGGTCTAACGGCCAGATATGCCACATATTAAAAGCACGCATAAAATGTATTATGAATTGCATATTAATTCTGAAATAATCTTTATTTATAATACACACACATACATATATGCTGCATGGCTTAATATATTTCTATATCAGTCGCTGGGTTCAATGGAAGAGAACTTCTTAACTAGAAAATTTGATGAGGCTTGTGAATGAATTTCAAATTCAAATTTATTGATTATTCTGTTTGCGTTTTGCGAGACTTAGTTTAATTTATTCCTGGTATAATTTTAATGAATATTAATTTGTATACATTTCTATTTTTATATTAAAAAGTCAATTAAGGTAAATATTAAAATGCTAAACATTTTAAAATAAAAAAATAAGTATGCTAATTATATAATTGAATAAGACAACGATTGATATAATAAATAATCATTAAAATTATTCATTTAATTATTTAAACAATTAAATTGAGATAATCGAAAATCATTATAAATACATAATATGGTTTTTCATATAACTTTATAATGTAATAATAATACAGTATAAAATAAAAATAAAAAATTAATTTTTATTTTAATTTATTGTATTATTAAAAAATTTATTTATCTTTTTTTGCACAATTCTACCATATATGCATAAATAAATACATTTTTTGTATATATTTTTATTAATTATGAAATTGTGAAAAAATAGAAAAATTAAATTTTTAATAATATAATAATTAAAACAAAAAAAAAGAAAATAATATTTTAGAACATTAACAATTACTAAAATAAATCTGTCAACTTATACTAGAGCCATATATATGTAAAAATATTTATAAATTTACTTATAAACAGATTTCCCCGACTAGCAGCCATTCTCTATCCTTATAAATCTAAACAATAAACTTACCCAGCCAACACATGTCGAGTTTAGCTTTAAAAAAAAAAAACTAGAAATACCAGGACATGTTCCGTTTGTCTGCACAGCGCGTAGCAGGCTTTTGCCGCTGGCCTCATAAATCAGCTTTATAAATATACTTTAACTAGATGATTTGGCATATTTGCGCTCATTATTTGGGAGCTCTTTAAATGGCCATGACGGTCGAAAAGAGAAAAAACATTTGTCATATAAGCGCGGGATGGTCGGGATGCCTGCCTCCCAAATTACCATGCAAAATGCTGCATCATGCCAGCAGCAGGAGTAGGGTGTGGTGGAGGGGGAGGGAGTAGGCAGCGGCAGGAGTAGCAGGCGACGATGTCTAACTGCCTGGCTCGTTAATGTCCTCGTCGTTGTCCTTTTCCTTTTCCTGTGCCTGCTGCCTGTCGCCTGTTGCCCGTTTGCCCGTTTGTCGTCTCTGAGTCTGTGTTTGTGACTAATGCGAACACCTGAAACGTCACAGGATGCGCACAGGTGTTGGCTCGCTGGCTTCCAGGCAAGCAGAAACAGCGGGGCCGCCAGTAGGCAAGCAATAGAAGGTCGGGCCTGGTCGGGTCGGGTCGAGTCAGGGTCTCCTGGCCACATTAACGCCGCTCTGCCACGCTGTCTGCAAAAGAACTGATCGATATATGGCGATTAATCAGACATTGTCGCTCTCCGGCCTCATGCCGTGCCAAAGGTGTGAAAAATTTCACGATTGCCTGTGCAGTTTCTGCTGAAACTGCACCCAGGGGAGTTGGGGTGTCGGTGCAGGCAATGCGAAAACCCTGGAATGCAGATGCCCCTGTAGCTGGGATAGCTTCGCGTTGTGTGTGTCCGTGTCCTGGAATCGGGCCCAAACTGCGCAAAGTCACACACAGCTGATGTGGGAAAGTGCCGCAGGCTGTGAAAATGAAAATGTGCGGCAGTTGGGCATCTAAAGTCATTAAAAATATGATTAAGAATACATTAAGCCATAAATTCAATTGTTTAAATATTTAAATAAAGAGAGTTCTCTTTACTAACACTTCTGTTAAGAGCAGCACTCATTGCTCTTCTGAAGGATACCATTTGATGTGTAGCCTAACTAGATTTATTATTATTATAATTATTTTTATTTTGTTTTTGCTTTTTTATTTATTTAAAATTTGTTTAATAATTATATAAAGCGTGTGATATACATTTATTTTTACCAGAGGCAGGCTATTGTTTTTTTTTAGTAAGATATTAATCATTTTTCCTATGTCTGTGTGCGTTTTTGCGAAATTTTGAGTTAGAAAGAAAGTGTGGGGTGAGTGCCTTGAATTGAAGAAATATTTGTGTTTAATTATTATTTGAGTGCGTACGACAGATGATGATTGTTAGAAAATCTGCCGAGATCTCTACTACATACTTATAGCATTTGCATTTACTCTGGTCTAATATTTAATTTATACAATCAACTATAGCTGAAACAGAAATCAGAATAGAATAAATTGACTGGGACTCTTCATATTCGATATTGCATTAATTAATCCTACAGATTCGAAACATATTCTGCATGCCACCAATACGTACTTTATAGTCTATCATAATTATATATAAATCTTTCTATATACATATAAAATATAGCATATATTTATATTAAATAACCGCTATATTTAGTAATTGCAATTAAATCCTCAATATTTTCTATTGCTGCATTTCGGCAAATTCTATATCTAACTGGCATGCTGTGGCTCCTTTTGTTGTTGTTGTTGCTGATGCTGTTACTTTGGTTATGGGTCTTCCTAGCCTAGGGTTGATGTTGATTTAAACCGCCGGACAGTTGACATTATGAACGGCCAGTGGCGAGAGGCGATGCCACGCACGTTGGCAACTGACAGATGCTGTCACCCACAACACACACTCACGCATACATACACATACACATG